TTTTGCGCTCTTCAAAGAGCAAAGCGCTTAAGAAATCAGCTGTACCATCGGTTATGTTAAATTCAAAAGACAAGACAGCTAAAAAGTCAAAGTTAGCCATAGACGATATGAAAATTAAAGAAGCGCAGCAAGGCATTAAAAAAAGTCTGGAGGACATGAGCAACAATTTAGTCAGGAGTAATTGCCGTTTATGCTTGATACCCTCTGCATTTGTGCGGTGGTTAAATGTGTATATTCTTATATTAACTCATTTCTCAAATCGAAGTTAATTCAGAGCGACTTTTCCCGCGTTTTCAGGTGTCTTTATATGATTCCAAGCAGGCCATTAGAAGGAAACATGAATTTTGTCAGTTAATTGAAATTAAACGGAAAACATGTCATCACCATTTAGCATAAATCTGATGATTTGTGTTATTTCGATCTGTTAAGATTTTCTAATTGAGTTGTTTTTTCTAAAGAAACATGTTCAACATTTTCTGATGCTCTTTATCTATTATATTTCATCTTAATTCGTCGGGTGGAACAATCATTTATGTAAATAAAGCTTGTTAAGCCTCATTAAATTTAAAAACAATAAAAAAAAACGGTTAAAACAGTTATGACTTTTTTTGATAAAAAACCAACGTCTAAAAAGTTTCAAGCATTTTTTTAACTGTAGATGTGGATTGTTTTTAACAATCACTTTTTAGGTGGTCGCCAGTAATATTTTCACCATGGCTTAATTCAATGTCTAGTAGAGCATTTTAGCTCTTCCCTAGGCCCAACACGCCCATGTTTATACCTGTCACCCGTCATTTTGTCAAAACGTTTGCAACGCCCAGATGGAAAATTTAGAGACTCCCACAAAATTTAGATGTTCTAATCAGCATCAACTTGTCACTCCGTCTGTCCGTCCGTCAATGCAATCTCTGTTATAAACAAACTCTTGGCCGCGAAAAAGAAGCTATTGATTTCAAAGTTGGCAAAAATTTTGAAATTTCTTGCAGGCAAATTCTGCCGAAGGACAAGCCTACAGTGCAGCGTAAGTTGAGAACACCTCTGTTTTTCAAACGGAATAAAAACCCTTAAACCACATCAGTTAAACCTATGAAAAATTGAACGCATATTCTATAAGCGGAGTTACAGTTTCTGTACAAAAATAGAAACAATTAGCCGCACCTACCCAATTTTACTGGGTGTCATAATTTCATTTTTTTCAAAAACCAAGCAGGATTCAAAAACCCCATAAAGTATGCAAATTCTTGGCTACTTTCCAACTCGGAATGCATCTGATCATGTCCTTTGTCCATTTACCCAACTCTGTAGTACCCCTGATACATATTATTCCGTTCGCAAAAATAAAGATTCGCCTACAAGATTCCAAAAGAAAGTTGAAAATGATCTAAAGTTTTCAAAGGATACGCCTGGGCTCGCACGCCCATAGAGTGCAACACATGTACCATACAAATTTCCACTGTTTTTGTGAAAATAGAAAAATTGAATCCCGCCCATCCCACATCACAGAACACGAAAATTTGCTTCTTTTCCTATTTTTAGTCTTTTTTAGCATACTTTGTTTCTATATTGCAGCTCTTTGTCTAGAGTAAATTATGCCCACTTTCAAAGTTGGTCCGTCAATAATATGGCAGTTCTCTATATATATAAATATATATATAAAGTCAAATTGTGCTATCGTAGATGTTACAAAAATAGACGATAAATTAACAGAATATTACGCAGATCTAAAAGTGAAGTTAAATCCATCGAATCAATGTAGCCTATATATATATATGTATACATGTCGTTTTTTAATTTATTGAAAATGAAATTTCTAAATGTGCTTATCTTTTACATAAGTGAATCACTTACATTTTAAACATAGATCCATGACTATAAACCATAAGTTCGAAATTTTTATCTTTTGCGAGCGGGATTATAACTAAGTTTCCGACCTAACAGAGACGAAAACTATATCAACAATGCTAAACCGTTGATTTCTTTAACCTATGTGGGCTTGATTTACAGAATCCATTGAGATCATTTCTGTATTGGCCTATAATAAACGCTTCTAAGAAGTTTGAAATCACTATACGTCATTGGAAAATTCTTTTCGAATTTTGTTCACTTTTCCCACTTTTGTGTAGTTGGAGGCGAAGCAGTTCGTTGACTTGACTTGAAAAAATATTCACAAGTTTGTAGCTTTCTCCCCACATTCCAGTTGCTGACAGACGAATAAATGAGGCTTGATTGCACTGCAATGAAAAACATTTGTTCTTTATAGGAATCTGGAAAGTTAGTACTTCGTAGAGCAAATTATTAATTTGAATAACTTCCATACGGTCTTTTTTAACTTTTGTTTAAAATTCTTGGCTTATTCCAGTTTTCATTGACTTTAAAATACATTTTGACTTATTTTGGCTCAAAATGGGTTTCTAGCCAAAACTCTTCAAATTAATACAGACTTCATATGAATCATCTGTTATTGACTCGCTTAAAATTTAAGAAGAAGAAGTATTCTATACTTTTAGTTTTGTTTACGTTTTAAGGAACGAGCACAAATTATTAATTGTCTGCTTTTTTAATAAAAGTCAAAGGCATCTTGACGTAATAAAATAAATACATGATGAATACAGATGGGGAATCAAATGAAGCGAATAACTCTTTGCGTATGTCATTGCGGGAGAGGCCTCGTAAGCTACATGCTGAACGTAAATTACGAGAGCGTTGTGATGAATTAAAATTTCTTGATGATTTCGATCCCGAAAAATCCAATCGAGAGAAACGCAAACTTAAACGTAAAGGTAGTCAACAGAATTCGCGTAGCCTCTATGACGAGTACGGACGAATACGTCACAATGGTTTAGATGTCTGTGATTGCATGAACGAAGATTGTCCTGGCTGCTGGTTTGAATGTGAAAATTGCGGCTCTACAAAATGCGGCTTACAATGTCGCGTGAATCGAAAATTTTTCTATGAATCTATTGCGTTTGACGGCAAAGATGCTATCATTAAAAACAAACATTTCCCAAGTAAATAAATTTGGTATTTTAGAAAAATAATCTTAAAAAGATAAAATTTAAGAATCGATATTTCTGCATGTTGGGCTGTCTGAAAAATATCTTGCAAATTTCGTTTGTTTACTCCATTCATATACTTCGTAACATGGAACACCTACTATAAGAAAGAGTTGCTTATTTATAAAGGAACTTAATTGGTAACAATAAATCAAAGTGGAGGACTAAGAAGCCATTAACATCGCAAAAATTTCAAAATTTTTTGTATTTCATTTTGCCGTCAAATATTAAAATATGTACTGGAGCTGAAAAGCTCCACTGATGGGTAAGGTAACTCAACGCCGCTTATTAGAGATGAAGTCGGCCATTGTGCGCGGTTTGGAACCGAAAAGAGTCACTTGTCACAAAAAAGGCGACGAAAAAGAACATTTTTGGGAACCGAGAAGTCGTCATTCAAAAGTACGCATTCGTTTGGGACATTCACTTTCTACGTATGTCGCACCTTTTGGTGACCTTGCAATGTATTCTTGCCCGCTCGGAAATAAAAAATCAAAATAAATCGAAAATGTAAATATTTAACGTTCAAAATATAATTGCATCTTATTCTGAAATCGTTGAATGTTTTCTTAAAAATGCCCGTATATTTCTACTTTTGCTGAAGGCGAATCACTTTTATGAATGTTAGCAAGATTCGAATTAAAAACCATAACTTATTCCAATTCCCGTTGCATAGAAAATGGGCTACGTTACACGAAAGATACAAACTCAAGCAAGGGATGAGGGTATAAAAACGTTCAGAAGAAAGTATCAGAGATTCCACAACGCATTTGTTCATTCTTGATCAGCATCAAATCGTAAATCGATTTAAGCATGCCCGCCTGTCCGTTTGTGTAATGTCTATTGCAAACATTCTCCTGGCTAGCTATGGATAGAAGCTATGCAGGTGTTAACACCTCAAGTTTCGATTAAGAACGAATTTAGTTCACTTGCTTTTTATTCTCTTTTCATTTAGCAACAAGTTTAGTAATTAACAATAATAAAATCGGAAGGTGTCAAAATTTAAGCCGTAGATAGGAAAGTTCTTCTCTAGCAAAAACATAATATGAATACACTAATTAGCAGATTAGGAAATAGGCATTCCGTTAAACTTTCATAAGTTGATTTATATCTTCAGCAGCGTTTAGTCCGCTAATGTTTGTTTCACTTAAAACATGCACGTTAACGAGTTCTTAAGAATTTTTTTCATTGCAATTTTTCTTAAACTATTAAATTGTGTAAAACTTAAGCGCGATAGACGATTTCTCATATTTCCGCGGCAGTCACCCACACGACATCAGGCGAGTTTAGATGCAATTTTAACTTAAATTATTTTGTAATTTTTTTTTTTTATTAATAAGTTTATTGGCGGCATTGGTATTCCGACTGATTTAACTTATGAATCATTAACTATTGGTTATGTGCTGAAAGCTGAATTTTGGTTGCCGTGGAATTCGACGGTATTTTATGAAAACCCTTATCTACCACAATATAAAAAGATAAGTTATTCCCAAAGGCATTTCAAACGCGATATAGATCATAAGACAACCTTGAGATGGAATATCTATCAAAAGCTAATAGAAACGCTAAATAGGTACATATTATTACATTCGATAACGATCGGATCTACACAGCATCGTTTCTCTGGTGTCAGAACTCCCTTTTTATTTTTCGTTCTTAAATTACAGTTATGGCTACAAAGGACAAGAATGTATTCTGAAAGCGATATGTGAAGCTAATGCTGTTGCTTTTAGAAGAGACTATAGCATGTTCGATGAATTAATGCACATATTCTTCAGGTACGGTAATGATGGATAGCATTAAAAAAAAATTTTACAAACTTTAATTCTGTTTCCTTTTTCTATGTTATAGTCCTTCAAGATCTCGCGATTTAAAATCGGAGGATTCGCAACATTTCTTAGAAGCGGCAAAACTAGGCGGGGAATCGGGGGAAACATCTTGCGAACTTTACGAGTGTTCTCTTTCGTTGCTAGCATTAATTTCAACAATTTTCTAAGTAATTATAAGACTAAAAATCCTTATTCAAATTCGATTTTGTATATAGGGTTCTTTTTAATTAGAACGTTTGAAAGACCACTGGGAATTATGTGAATAACTAAAATGAAACTTCAGCCAAGAAGGCGTTCTTGTCTTTCAATATCATGCTATTTTTATACTCTACGCCACTTTTGAGAATTAACTTTACCCAAAAGAACTTAAGATAAATAGCTTTTATTTTACCGATAGATCCCGAAATATTTTCAGAATCGACTTAAGTTTGTCTTTCCGCCTATCTACCTATCTTGATTTCTTATGTCCGATGTCAAATAGCTGTCCTAGTTGACTTCTATTCGTTTATCGATGCGAATTTTTCATCAATTTTCTTAGAACTAAATTTGTAGTATTGTTTCGTTCAATTTCAAGTTTAAAATTTTCTTTTCGGTGCCTATAAATGGATATGCAGTCCAATTACCGGAGTTCAAATAAGGGCAAAAACAAATGCCGTAAAAATATTAAAAAAAATTTAACAAAATGTGTTAAATTCCATGAGCGAGTTGATGTTTTTAAAATAAACGATGCCTGGAAATTACAAATGTACCAAAGTGATCTAAAGACGGAGGAGGAACAGGTATGAAGATAAAAAAAGTTTTTAAAAAGTGGTAATTACAATGCTATTATTATAGGCAAAGCGACGTCTGCACCAACGGAATTATTAGAAAACAGAACTTGAATAGAAAAAAATCTTCTTTTTTTTGACGGGAAAGCAAAATTATTTACTTTTATTTCTCAATTTTCATGTCTGGAAGTTTCAAGAACGGAACGCATCCTTTAAATACTATAATGGATTAAATACTAAAATTTGATTAACGTGAATCTTATGAGGGTTTTTAAAGATTTGTCTCGTTTTTGCTCCTCATGTATATAATTTTTTTTCCAAGTGTTTTTGTGTAATGTAAAAATATTATTCAAAAAACAAATCGTGTATAAAAAATAAGATCAGGACAACTTTGAAATTAAATTAAACCTTAAAACAAGCTGCGTCATTACACATCCATAAAATAAAAGTCAATAATTAAAAAAAATAAAAAAACTGGTAAGCAAAATAAAACAGATTTGATTTCATTAAAGAACAAGGCGCCCCGAAGATATCACTTTCCTAAGCAAAATGTACGAAAATCGTGGTATTCCAATGGGTGTAATATTTACCATACCATTTGACTTACGTATTTATTATGTAATTCTGCATTACTAAGAAAATGTCGGCGACGGCAAATTTTAAAATGCGTATTTTACAATTTCAAATAAATACTCTTGTTGAGATTCGATACTTTAAATTGACAAGCCCACGATTTAGTGTCCTTGAAGTTTCAAGATACGACCTATGAGATTAAGAATAACTAAAATTCATTCGTATGACCGACAATGTGTGCTTTTGTTTTTGAAACTGAGTAACAAGATGAATATTCACAATCTCTTTTGGTTGTGGATATTAAAGAAAAAAAGTTAATAAATATATGAATGACGGAGGAGGAATGAAAAATAAATATCAGCGAATAATTTAGTTGGCTTCAGGAGCAGATGGAGCAACAGAAGCAGCCCCTTTGTGAAATTCATTCATACACAATTTGCAACTCCAAGATCCTTCAGGCGGCGTGACGAGAGGTGGCGATAAACAATACATATGATAACCGCGATCGCAGTCATCGCAGAAGAGTAATTGATCATCATTATCCGAAGTACCGCAGATAGAGCAAAATTTGCACTCAATACATTGCCAGCGATAACGCTTCACAGAAATAATCATATTAGGGGTAAATTGCAAACACGATGGATGACCTGAACGACCACAATCCGAACAAGAAACTAACTCTTCGGGAAGGTTTGTTTTCTTATTTTCGCGTTGATCACCCAAACAAAAATCACAATAAGGTGATGGTTGAGCTACCTCACGATCAACCGAACGTATTTTCGTTTTAGTGGCACTTTTTTGAGGTGTAGCACCAACGACAACAACGTGTGATGTTGAGGATGCAGTGGCGGCTGCAGCAGCCACGACCGCTGCGGCTGCAGCTGCAGCAGCCGGCGGTGCTGCTACGGTACTGTTATCAATTGTTGCAGTTGTTGAGACTGATGAAGCATCAATAGCGAGGGCTGTGGAAGCTGAATTCTCCGGCGGGGCGTTACCGGTAGTACTCGCAGCTGACGAGGAATTGTTTGAGGAAGGCATGGTTAAGCCGGGCTGGGAATTATCATCCGTGTTCGTAATCGGAGAAGCTGAATTGGAATGACTTACACTGGACGCCGCAACGTTGGCGGCAGCCGCGACAGCAGCAGCTGCTGCAACTGCAGCTGCCGAACTACCGCTTCCAGCTCCTCCACCCCGCCGACGACGAGTTGGCTCACCAGAAACTTCCCCTTCAAGAGCTCCACCTCGACGACGAGTACCTATAATGCATATATATACGCATGATATAAGAAAGTTTACAGCAAGCTGGATTTCGTACCTCCTCCTTTGCGTCCTCTCTTAGGAGTACCATCGACACTAGCGTTACTTTTACGCCAACGTGTAGCGCGTTTGCGTTTACCCCTACTATTATAAGACTCGTCATAATCATTGTCTGATTCAAAATCATCTTCAAAGTCATCTACATGATGATGATAGGACATATCCATGTCTTCATGAAACCATTCCTTTTCAGCGTTAGCATGAGAATCTTTGCTGTCGTTGTCACCTGAAGCACTCATTGAATTTCCATCGGCAGTTAAAGCTTCACAAGACAATGTTAATGAAAGTTTAAAAATATTGCAAAAATTATAAGGAGCCTCTCACCTGCATTTTCAGTTTGGTGATGGTCACGATTAGAGGGTCCTGTTCCCGCTCCTGAGGAATGATGATGATGATGATGGCTTGTCTCCCGATACTGATACGCCCGATAACTATGATGATGATTTAATAAATACTGTCTTTTCGGTTTACGCCAACGGGCTGAGGGATACGTGTAAATTTGTCCTTCACGAAAACCCGGCATACGTTGCTTTTGCTTTACAAACAACATAGAATGCGTTTGTGCAACTCCTGTCTGCGGATCCAAAAATGGCATACGCAAACGTCTCTCTATACACAAGCGAGTATTATAGGTTTCGCTATTCTCTAAAATCTCCTTATACGCCGAATCATTAAGAAAATTTTGTATTTTCTCAAAATTATTAATATTGACCACTTCAATTTCAGGTGCCGACATGGCTTTTTAAAAAGAAAAAACAGGCGTTTAGGCCAAATTATGTCTGTCAGCGTTCTGCGTTTCCACGAAAATTAGAAATTATTTTATTTCATTCGTTTACGCAAATACGTCAATTAAATTTATGTTCTTCATTTGTGAACTGATGCTACTCTTATGTTTTGTTTAAATTTAAATGAAATTTTTAACAAATATATAATACTTCCGTAAATTAATCTGCATTTTTTGCAGCCAAACAAGTTTTTGATTTTCGTCTTTTATGTTGGCATTGTTGCCAAGACATAAAAAGAGTTTAGGTATTTTTGCAATTTGTACAAAAGAGCTTCGGAAAGGCAACTCTTTTCCATACTCGCTTTCTCAAAAAAAAAAAAACATCTCATCATTTTTAGGATGAATTGACATTAATTATAACTAGGTCTTTATTCTGTCAGTGAATTTCATTAGATATTCAGAAGAGAACGTTTGCTTTGGGCGTGGAGTTTTTTTTTGCGTGATTGCTTATAAACACTTTAAAGAATATTGTACTTTTCATTTGCGAGTAAATCCGTTTATTTTATAAAATTAACACTAGTGAATCAAAGCTTTCAAAAAAAAAAAAATCTACATGGGAGCTAGTAATCGTAACACAATCGTGGCAGTAGGATTGTCAGCTGTGGCTTTTAGTCTTTTTCTGATAGCATTTGCAACACCTTATTGGCTTGTTACTGATGGCCGTTTGAAAAATCCGCGCTTTACAAATTTGGGCTTATGGGAAGTGTGCTTTAGAAGTTTTCAAGATATCCATCGTTTTTTTGATACAGAATTTAAAGGCTGCATGTGGGTCTTTGAAGAGGAATATTACATCATTCATGACTTCCTGTTACCTGGGTTTTATATAGCCGTTCAATTGTTCGCGACATTATGTTTCGTAACATGTCTAATCGCTTTGCCGTTGACTCTATCGTTTCTACGTACATCTAGAGATGATGATCGCTACGTATTCCTATTGCTTACGATAGGATCATTCCAAGTTTTGGCTTCGTTTTTCGGTTTGCTGGCAGTGATAATATTCGGGGCTAAAGGTGACTCACGTGATTGGATGCCACATTGGCAAAATAATGATATGGGCTGGTCTTTTGCTTTAGCAGTGATTGGTTCGTCATTTCTTATGCCTGCAGGCGTTATGTATATAGTGGAAGCACGAAGAGAACGCTATCGTCGTTTGAATGAGATAAGTAATCGAGAAGCCATAAGTGAATACGGTGGCGATGACTACTATCAACAACAACAAGCTGCCCATCAATATTTTGCACCTGAACCTAGCCGACCTCGACGCCCAACCTCAGGCCAACGCGCTTCGAGTACAGCCACTACAAGTGGCGGTGGCATTCAAACAGATATATAAACTAGCTTTGTATGCAAGTAAAACATTCTGGATATTTTCTGTTTTTAAAACATATCCGTCCCTCTATATAATATCCAATTATATAATGACCAATTAAAAGAGCATATAGGCAATTCCGTATATCTCTACGTATTAATATTGTATTAGTATTTTTATATATTTAAGACTCTCTGTAACAAAATTTTTTTATATAAACTTCTATAGTTTCATATATATACATTTTCACATCACATATTTTCTACGGTTTTAGTGTACTTCTAATCTCTACTACAAATAGCTACACATCAAATACGGAAGTACTTGCATAATTCACATAAAGAAAGAAAAACGGGAAATTTTCTTTTTATTAAACCGAAACATATAAATTAACAGTAAAGTATATCTTAACCCTATTAGAATTTTGCTTGAATATATAATTGTTTTTTATATGGACACTTGCACATTCCATACGTCGCGACTAGATTTTAAATGATTTAAATACAACCGTACAACCTAAGACATCGTTCAAGTCTATTTTTTATTTTCTGAGGACTATAACGAAATTCAAGAAACATGTCCATTCATAGACGAGGACGGCGTTAAGACTTCCTTGTTAGTTTTAAGCCATTTCTTAGATGTATCATTGTCGTTGGCACCGCCATTTTCAATTATTACAAATAATTCTCTATCGTTGGTATGCAATTGTTGGCGCAAATAATTGAATAATTGCTCTTGATTGCCTAAACATTCAGGCATTTGTAATTTTGAATCTAAATTGTAGAATTTCTTATCAATTTCTCGGATCGCTATCCAATGTCTTCGATGCAGAGGTAGAGTAATAAAACCAAGCTTGTAATCTGAAGGCACATTTAATATCAGACCAACGATGGCTTGTAAGTCGATGCAGGCAGGATCTCTGAAAATGAGACAATTCAACTAGTTAGCTTTGCCATATAATAATTTGAGACGTATTTAATTACTTCCGTTTATCAAACCAGCAAGCCTCACATTTGCGCAGTTGCAACGCCTGCATGATAACATTAATATCGTAGTTACCCAAACCTAGCATAGAACGATGGGGGTTTAACCACACGCTAGGATTTAGATTTGTGCAAATTTCATCCAATTGTTCTTTGGTGAAGGAATTTTTACATTGAAACAAATTGTTTAAAGTATGTAAGGCGCACAGCTGACGTGTTTGCCTTTCATGGTATATTTTTGATGTGTTTAACGAGGACATTTTGTTGGAATTCAAGACCATCTAAATAAACTAAATTTTTTAAATATTTAAGAAAAATTTCTAACTAACAAATAAAAGAACGGTCAGCAAAATAATAATGTTTACGTTTGTAATACAAAAAAAATTATTGTTGTTGCCTTGAAAAGCTTCAGAAATCACTCTAGGATTGCCAAATAATAAATCATTGTTCTTCTGGTATTTTGATTGATTTTAAGATGTAATCTGCAGCGAGTATTAGGAGATTCACTTGGATACCCACTGAAGTGTCACGGAGGTGTAACTGATTCGTTGACATTTCTTTATTTTATTTGTTGATTATAATTATTGGAATTTATCATTTATTTATTTATTTTTCTTTAAATATGATGTTTGTTACTACAAATTTTGGTTGTATTCGAGTATAAAAGTAAGTTTTAGATGTGAAGCATTTATATCTGGCAGCGCCAGTAAGCAGATCAAAATGAATGCACAATTTTCTTAAAACTGCTCGACTTTGAATTTAAAATTTTTATTACAAATTTTCCCATTAAATTTGAATTCTAATCGTAAATTTTTAATTTTTCTTTCTTAACAGCCATCATTTCCATATACGTTGTCAGCTATTAATCCGAATATATGATTTCGCAACCCTGGTTAAATAAAGCTGTCACATGATTTTCACCTGACTGACATTTATCATCGTAAATTTTACATTGACGACAAGTAGGTTCAATAAATAGCTTATTTTTGAAAATTTAAAGCAAAATTGCTGTAATTTAAAACAAACAAACAAAATGAAAATCTGTGGTCCTAAATTATCGCTTTGCGGTCTGATTATTTCCATTTGGGGTGTAATTCAGTTGGTAAGTAGTTTAGAAAAAAAAAAGGCGAAGCCGATGGGAGTATTCAGGCGGAGCCCAAGCAGAATTATAATAATAATATGGAAGATATTTATTAAAGCAACATTTTCTTTCGTAAGGTTTTGATGGGGCTATTTTTCTATATACATAGCGTGGCATTGATAGAAGATTTACCATTAGAGGAGGAATACCATTCAGTTGAGGAGTTCTATGCTGCAGCTAATGCTGCATATAATCAGGTAAGAAAGTATTCAATAACGAACAGTCGCCACTTAGAGATTATTGCTCTTTTTTACACTTTCAGAATGCTTACAATTGTTGGATTGCTGCCTGTATTTATGTTTTAACATTGTTATTCTCAGCTCAGCAATTTTATGTAAACAGCCGTACGACTGCCAGTTGCTAACTGATTTTCTTACTTATCAAACATGTTTCACATTCTCAAAACTAGCTTTGAACGAATTGCAGCATTAGAAAAGTAAACTATTTGAATGTCTATAGATAAGTAAAACAAAAAAAGGGCTGCAATTGTTGATTATCTTTATAAGGATTTAATGATGTAAATGGTGAAATATTATCCTATAATTTGAACTTTTGAACAAACTTCAGTCGTGCAACAGCTATAGTCCCTTAAAAACAATGTTATTATTATAACCAATGATATTCCTAAACAACTGTTGAGAGATTATCAAACCACTTTTGATTTGTTATTTGCATTTTGTTTATTTGCAAAGTTATAGATGAGAAAATTTTCTCAAAAGATTCATTGTCTCCCAAAAATTTAAAAAAAAATACTTTATTTCGAATTGGTTTCTAATCATATAAGTTTCCATGTGCTTAAAAAAGTGTTCCTCCTCATATTAAACAAATTTCTTAGCTAATGTTTTCCGAAGTTTTCCGTACTTTTTTAATGCAAATTTATACCACTGGCCGTAAATTATTTCAAGTTTTCTTTCTATTTGTTTCACCTGATGAATGAGTTATTCGCTTTTTCTGAATTTCTTTTTTTTCATGTATGTATTTGTTAATTATTTCCATTATCGAAAAACTCTCCAGTGTGAGAAAATTTCTTTGTAAATTATTATTACCATATCATTAAGCGTTAATTTTATTCTTAGTGAAGAAATAGAGTTTTGATTCATTATTGTGCATGTGAAATATTCTACTTTAATAAAAGCGTAATTTTATTTCATATAGGGTGATCTAAACGACTTACACCATTATGTAGCTATAATAGACACTTCAAACCCCAAACCTTCCAGAAAAAGAGCTGAGAGTTATTTAGCGCGTACTCCATAAATGAAATTATTACGTTAATTCTGACTTGCGGGAAATTTATATACTTACCATTTGGACAACTCTTTGAAGAAGCGGGGTGTATAACTCTCAAGTCGTAGACAATTTTATCAAGTATCGATTTTTATTCCCATCATCAAAGGATGCAGCGTATATTAATTTTACCAAAGCGTTTGAAATGTCTAGAAGAAACCTTCAGAGACCCTACAAAACGTATATGGCTTTGATCAGCATCAAATCCTTAATCGGTTCAAGCACGTCCGTCCGCCTCTGTAATGTCTTTTTTAAACATTCTTCTGGCCGGAAAAATGAAGCTTGAAATGAAGCTGACTTGCAGAAACTTTGGAAGTTCCTACACGAAGGCGGGGTAATGAAAATCGGCCAAATTGGTCGAAGAGTAAGGTTACAGTATCACGTAAACTAAGAAAAACCTCTATTTTTCAAAAGGGGTAAAAAATTTGTTTTTTTTCTAATTGTTCATAAACACCACAGCAGGTAAATCTCCATAGGTAAAAAAGCATATTCTATGGGTGCAAGCAAACTTGGAAAATCCTTATATTATATTCACCTGAGCATGTTTGCCTGTCTATCTGTTCCTGTTGCTTAAAATTTTCAAAGGACTTTGAAAATTATGTAACTTTCTCAAAAGCCTCGCCTACAAAGTCCACACTACTATGCACCAAAAGCTGTGAAGACCGTTGGTGGATTCAAAAGATTCTGCCACGATAGAAAATAATTATCTTACGTATTTCAAATTTAGGCACTCTTAATAGGAGGACATTCAAAAAGTTAAGAATGTTAATACTTTATAGCACGATTCGTATGTGATTCTCGTTATGAATCCTAACATCAAGCGAATGAATGGGTCATGGATCAAATCAATGGATCATATTTAATATTGCATCTTTTGATTCTTATTGATGGAGCTTAATAAAAAGATATATCAATGTTTTATGTAAATGTTTTTCATCGCAGCGTATAAAAAATAATTTTAAAATGAACACATCTTACTAGTACGTTAAGCAAAATTCATGACCTTTTAAATAATTTCTTGGCAAAAGAATACTTACTAACAGCTCCTATTTTTTCGAAATTTCGATTTGTTCAAATAAACATGATTTTTACTTTAATTTAGTTAAGTTTATTTGGGTTACTTATTTGTAGCCCGTTTTATATAATATACACAAAGCTGTGCTTGCGCTATTTAATAAGATATTGTGTTATAAAAATAATTCAGCTACAAATGCAAAATAAAAACAAAAAAACATTTTCAAAACAATGCCTGTATTCACATACAAAATACAAGAATTTTTTTATGTTTCAGATCTTGCGATGAACAATGAAGGAGACTAGAGTCGAAACATATAACGTTTTTATATTGTGTGTGCTAAAAAATTGGAAATCTTTTATGGAAATTATTAACTTCTCTTTTTTATGTACAGCTTGATCAAGTTATTTGAATTTTTTCGATTTTTTTGAAAAAAACTTTCGGATATCTTTCACATTTGCAGTTGCAGATTGATGGATTTGCAGTTTAGGCAGAACTTTCCGAGAAATATTTTGAGTTGTTGGACTACTAGGTAGACATGTTATTCAGTAGTGAATGTACTGGGGGTACGAAGTAGCGTCAATTAAATAGTTGGTCGTATATCGTCATGTCTACCTTGTCACTTATCGCAACCTTTCCCAGCAAATGTTCATCATGAACTTTTTGCATGCCAACGTTAATTCCATTATAGAATATTTCCATCCATTTCCACAACAAATTTTTTGGGTTTGACTTTCGCATCTTATCACCAACGGCATTCGAAAAAATTCCTCGCGAGATCAAAAGATCGGAAGCCGATTGAATATATAATTTATTGAAGGACTTTTGTTTTTCTTGACTTAGCTTTGTTCAATTTCCGCCAGAATGTTATCCATTTCTTTTATGACTTTTTATCAGAAGAAATTTATGTATCTGACATTAAGGACGCTAACGCCATTAGTCATTCATTAATATTCTCTTGTATACAAAAAATGTTTTTGAAAACTTCTATAACTTTTTCTTGCGTTGTTCAATAATTTGTGTTCACATCTTGAAAATTGTCAGCATAATGTTTTTATGGCCTTTCAACCCTGAGAAAACTTCTAAAGTGACAGTTTTTGCAATATTGATGCATCTTAGCTGCAATAATTACATTGTGTATGTACCTAATATTGATTTCATAATTACTTCTTGTATACGGTTTTTTGGACAAAATATTTAGAGTTTCTCCTTAGCCGATTGTTTTAAATTGCTGAACACAGCCTCAAATTTACCGTATGTCGCATGTATTTTTTTACATACTTTTTTCGCACGGTTTTCTAAGGAACACATATAAAAATGTAGTAAAGAAGGATTGGGCGTATACTCTGCACATAGGGTATTGTGTTCAAAGAATAAACCAATATTCAAGTTAAATTGCGCGGGTAAATTGAATATTAAAATTGTTTTTTATTAGTAGCATTGTGACAGACATCTGCGATTTTGTGCGACACAGAATGTGTTCTTCCCGATTTTTACAACGTAGGTTTTTGTTAAGCAAAGAGGTTGCATTAAATATTCCTTGCGAGATGAAATTTCTTGTGCGAAACGTTTAGAACGTTACGGAGAACCTTTGATGAGCAGACTTTGCCGGCGGAAAACTTCAAAGAAGCCCGAGAATGGGTTGAAGACGAAAAGCATCCAGTGCGGATGAAAATCACGTCAAATAAATTAAAGATTTAAAACCCATCGTTTCGAAATCATCAGCCAACAGCATTTTAACTTATGTTTTGGGTCGGAAGAGCGTCGAATTTGGCTGTGTGTTCAGTGTTTTTGGTATTAATAAATCTTTCAGGAGATGTTATCTCGTTATCAACAGGCCGTAAAGCGTATCATTACAGGAGATCAGACTTGAGGATAAGGATAACTTTTGCTTTCTGCATCACGATAATGCGCCATCTTACATTGAATTGGTTCTTCCCGATCATTTCGTTAAATACTCAACTACCCATATCGTTCCACAACCAACGTATTCACCCCAAGCTTAAAAGCTCACTCCGGAGACGTTCTGACTTCATTGAAGAAATACAAGATAAAGCGGAGAAAGCTTTGAAGGTCGTTCCGAAAATTGAAAATAAGAACTGCTTCGAGAAATTAAAAAAAAGTCGGTATAAGAGGGAATTACTTTGAATGCGATGAAGTAGATTTGGAATAATAAACAGATTTAAAAAAGTTGGAATTAAATTAGTCTCACATTTTGAACACGTAGTATAAGTATATATATAAAATATATATATAAAATAATTGCAATGAGGAACAAAACAATCTTTGGAAAAAGCTCGTAGTAAAATTAATGGCTAATAAAATCAAATTTAATTTAGTTGCTGTATGCATATGAGAAGAAAATGAACACTTAAACTAAAATCAAATCAAAATCGAGTTTATTATTAAATTTATATATAAATTGTTCTCTAGTTGCAAACTATATTCTTAGCTATAATAGTTAAATTTATTAAATATAATTTACATGTTATGTTAATGTTGTGCCATTTCAATTACTGTTTGGTTGAGCGTTTTAAGCAAAAGCGTTTATAAAATGTTTTACAATATATTTAAATTTTATCTTAATTTATCCTTTTTTTACAAATTCTCTTACATGAATTTTGTTCTCTAAGTAAACTCTTTTAAAAAAATCAATTGGAACAAAGTTGAGGGGTTAGCATTTCTTTAGGTTTTAGAATGTATATAAGTACAACTGTTAAAAATTTAAATTAAATAAATAAATAAATAGAAAAAAGAGAAAAAGAAATAATAATTTCGAATATCTTTTGGTTAAGCTTATTTGATTGGTTCAATTTTATATATGAAAGGCCAAAAAGTTATATCGATTTGGTGCTATAATGTTGTAATGATTAAAAAATATATTGATCCACATTTTTCTTTTGTTTATAATAAAGCGTGCTGGTGATTGAGATAAAAATTTATAAAATTCGAGTGTTATCTTTTGTCGTCATATCAACATTAAGATTAGATATAGTTAATTTAATTAATATATATATATATATAGGAAGATAGCAAGTAACAGAGATAGAGAGAGAGGAGAAAAAAAGGTGCAATTGTTTCAGTGAATGTAAATAGTTATATAGTTTTTACTCGTTCGGTTTTTGAAGATTTATTAAACGCTCTTGATTACGGCTAGAAGATCGGGAAGATTTACGATTAACAGATTCCAAATAGGCCGCTGGTGTCCAACCTTCACAATTGATTTCTAAATCACATAATAGAAAAGTAAAGAAAAATATTCTTACAATGGGCTGAAGCATCAGTACATATATTTTATTAAAGTTTAAAAAAAACAAAATAAACAAGTAAGAAAATTATATTCGGTCTTGACCGAATCTTTTATAGCGATCGCCGTTATCATAAAAAAGAAAAAAAAAGTAAAGGCACTAAATTTTCATGCTCTACAATGTGGAGCCGTCGCGACTGACCTTATTTATTTTCACGATAAAAGTTTTCGTCGCATAGAGGTATGGTCTTTGTAGACGTGTCCCTGCAAAAGTGTCTTCCAGATGCTTTTGCAAATTCATAGGCGATATCTTCATTTTCGCCAACGGGAGAATGTTGGTTGCGCCGACAGACAGATAGTCAGTCGAAAGTCGGACATGTTAAAACTGTCCAAAAATGTATATACTTATGGGGTTTTTGAGGCTTGTTTCTGCGCCTTTTAAAGGTATTGAAATAAAGGAAAGTATGACACGGACATTTTTTCCATTTTTATACAGTTACTGCAGCATCGCCTATAGAATATATGGTCAAATTTTTGTAGATTTTACTGTTGTAGTTTATGAGTAATGATCAAAAACCCAAATTTTTTATTCATTTCGTAAAACAGGGCTAGTCTCAGTTTACGTAGTACTAGAGACGTCTCGCTTGGCGGATTTGGCCCACTTTCAATAGCAACTTGCGCTCATGAACTTAACAATTTTTGCCGAATTTGAAGTCGATAGTTTAATTTTTGCGGCAAGGAGAATGTTTACAACAGACGTTACACAGACGGATATGCTTAAATTGATTCAGAATTTAATGCTGATCAAGAACACATGTACTTTGTGGGATATCTGATGCTTTTTTCTGGGCGTAGCAAACATTTCGACAAAAAGAATATATCTCTAATATTTCAGTGATGGGTATAAAAATGGGCAAAAACTAATTTGGTCATTTTTTATCATTGATTTTCTGCTGTTTTGTCACAACACAATGACCTTGTTTACTGGTCAAATAGCTGAAAAGTCAAATCAACGTCAAAGCGCTGGGACTATAAAGCCTGTAGCTGTCTGAATAGCCAAGCAGCCAAGAATCATGACTCTCAAGCTTTTTAAAGTTTTCTTTAAAAGAGACTGCGGCCGCCACCTTCCTATCTCTCTCTCTTTCCTCTCTTCTTTCTTACAGTCATCGTGTTACACGAATATGGGACGAATATGGGATTAGTAGTATTGAAAAGAGATAAAAAATGCGAAAACCCGGTATAGCACGATTCCGCAAGATCCACCATGTGGCGATCGTGGCTACAGAAACTCCATTAATTTCACATAGTTAAGAAATCCCACCGGATATTATGGAGTATCAAAATTGAATTCTTTCTATTTTTTTGTTTTTTTAATTAATATAAAATATATATAAAATAATTTTCTTACTTGTTTAAATTACTTTACACTTTGCAATATGGTAAGTAGATGAATATTATAAGATTACCTAATATGCGGACATACCACCAGCCGGCACAACCTACTTTAAGTAATTCAACTGTATCTCCTTCGTGCATTGAGACTTCCGAATGACCCACCGCCACATAGTCGGCTAGAGCTACATATTTACTGCCCTGTGGTTTCGAGTGTTAGATATAAGCCAAACGTATACATACGTATATAAATATATATAAAGCATATGTAAATATTTATGTTAGATCGATATTATTGATTTTAATAAATACTTAAAAACAATTCAAAATGTTAGAATCGGACAAAACCGACTGTTAAACACACTACGCCGCCTTGCAACGACAACTTTCAAACAAAGCTTTGTATGATACCGTAAGCGACCATAAACGTGGTGCGATTCAATTCATTATTAATGAAATTCTGTTTTGCGTGGAATGCGTGGACGGCAGACATCGGAGAGACAGATCTTCAGTGAGATTTTTTTGAAAATGATTCTAAATTGACTGGTATTTGATTTGATTTGGATGTTGCAAACGTGGCGTAGGGAATAATTATCTTTAATTTTTTTTTTTTTTAATTTAGCTTATGTGATTGATTAGTTGTTTATTTTGTATGTAATTCTGACAAGCAATTGCTTAATTAATTATAAGCTATTTTCATTTTATGACTTTGGCATTCGTTAGAAAATTAACTAAACGAAAGTCGTTATTAATATACAAAATAAATAAAATATTTAAATAATTAATGTTTAAATCAAGCATTCCAAATAATAAACTAAATGATTCTCGAGGCATATATGTGCGATCAGTTAGTTAGATGTTTTTAATGTGAATGTCGAGCCAAGTTATATAAACCAATGTGTGAGTGATAAGGATAGTGCTGCACAAAGGGGACTTTTAAACAAATTTAGTTCTTAATATAAGATTACTTCTTTGTTAAAATGTAAGTGTATGTGTTGTGCAATTTTCTAACAATTTCAAATTTGCATTAACTTATTACAATATGTACATTTTACAGTGGTTTTCTAGGTTAATTAGGTTGTGGTTGTCGAAATAATTTTCAAGTATTAAGGATAAATGTTAAACTTTAAAGTATATATATATGTAAACATATAAAGTCTTTGCATTTTCTTAATTAGATTAGGTTAGTTGGGGATTAAGTTTTAATTTTCTCGAAAAGAAAATGGATCATTAATGTTACCATCTAACGATTGATCGATGTGATTTCTGATGATTTAATAAAAGACATAGACGACGATGAACACAAATGCATCAAGTATCACTGTTCTACACACGAACTCGTCGAACATTCGCCTGCCTGAGCATTAAGAGATAGTTCTTTATAAATGTAATAAGTAAATTCGATTGTTTTCATTCTCCACTTAGGATCCTATCAATGGGTATTAGTGCAAATAGAAATTTCTCTTTTAATCGCTCCGTATTTTACTCACTTCCGTTTACTTATTTTTATGAGAGTCTAGAATTTCTTATAATTACTTTTCTTAGCTTTTCTCAATTGTCGGACAACAGTTTTCCTTAAGCTAAGCTGATTGTCTAGAATTTTAAGTTTATATACATCTGAAGTAAGTAGAAGGAGGTTGCATCTGTCCTTCAAAAGCTCTGGGATTGGAATGCCTACTTACAGATCTAATGCTCACAAGCCTTTCGCAAACTTCTAGTTGTTATTGACAACAGTATTTAGAGATTGTCGACAATTGACAAAGCTGAGCATTAACAAAACTCGACCTTACCCGAACGTAACTTCTTTTGTATTCAACACTAGATTTGCGCCAGTCGTCCATTTTGACGGACTTTTGCTTAAAAATTCTGCGCAAGGAAATAGATATCTTTAAAAAAAGACATATATCGGTTTTTAATGATATAATGCAGCAAATATATGTATGTCAAGTTTGTTTTTCTGAAACACGCCCATTTTGTTATTTCTAGACGTTGTGTGCCCGTTTCTAAAGAAACTCATGAATTTGAAGTGCAAATATTCGCCAAAACGGAGATAGGACAATAGAATAGGAAATATTTTACAGACATTCCTTGATCAATTAAGAATGCGAAATTAAAAATATGCGTTATATGTTTACATATGCAATGCAAAAGAAACTAAAACAATTTCGGAGAATAACGAAATTTTTTCAAATTTTTGTCTGCAATTTTTAATTCCGTGAATACGTTTTTCAAAAACTGGTGCCAAGCAGTTTCGTTAACAATGCGTCCAAATTCAACGACAACGTTTTGATTTCAATATATATTTCCCATTCCGAAAAAAGCTACCGGGATAAAGACATGTTCGTTCATGCTTGATTTGTAGATAAAACAAAAGGAAACGAGAACTCATAAGTGCTTATTACTGTATTAAAGACTCTGATTAAATAAAATAAATGGGCAGGATCACACAATGATATTTTTGACATTTATAATGACTAGTGATAACATATGAGCAAATAGAGTGCAAAGAAGATATTGTTGCCTTTTTACGATCTGATCGAAGTTGTCTGCTTTTAAGAAGGTATAAAAAGCTTTTCACGTTACTCTTGTGCCTGTTGACATAGCGATAAGTTTTTCTTGTACGTCTGCAACATATTGTGTAAACGGGTTTTTCAGTCACATAGTCTCTTTTTAAAAAACATCTCTCCAAATCCATTTTGTATCACTTGATGGAGTTTTAATTCGATTCTTTTATTTATCCTTCCGTCCGAAACTCCAAAAAATTACTAGTTAATTACATTAATTTTCGAAACTAACTTCTCTTCTTTGTTCTCCTTACTTTCTCTTACGTTCTCCTACACCACTTGTGGTACAAGGGTAAATTCAGTTTGCGCGGAAGTGCGCAACACGGAAGGATTTGGCATGGATCCACTTTTCTTTATACCGATCAAATCACAATCACTTTTTAAATCGATTTAAGCTTATCTGCTCGTCTGTCGTTCAACCTACAGGTTGCAATTTTTCTAATGCTTGGAAAAAGTTTGGTACCACGAACACTGTTAAAAATGTCTCCGATCGGATCGCTTTTTCAATCACTTCCCGTATAAATCTTTTTTTTGAAAAGTTGTTATATGAATAATTGCATTTTACTTTGTTTATTATTTGAATGACATCAATTCCAGTTGAAGTTTAAGTTTTAGTATAATTAAATAGAAACTTCTTCCGGGGGAGATAGAAAAGATAGGTTAAATAATAAATAAAAACAATAGGGGGGAGAAGAACATATATACGGTGCACTAGTTGCTCAGGAGCATCGGTAAAAGTTTGTGATTTGTTGTATTTTATTGAAATCATGCTGAGGTACTTTGAGCTTATTAGGCAGTTCATTTCTTTTTTTTATAAGTTAGCAAAGATATGAATGAAGTTTAATGAGTAAACCTTATAGACCCACGATGCGAGTGAGTAAATTTTCCTCATAAAACGATCCTACCATCCACTAGACTATTAAGGCTCTTTCAAATTTTCGCAGCTGCGACCAACTGAGATAAAAATTCTAAACCGAGACAATATTTATATATGCACTAGGTGTGTCCACCAAAAGACTTCACAGTGAAAGTAACGGATAAAAAGTGTTAGTTTGGCAAAAAAGTATTTTTTTTTCAAACTTACATAGATAATATTATCAATGTTTTGAAATGTATTTTACCTTTTAAAAACAATGTAGCAAATTAATGTATAAGATTTTATCTGTGAAATAATTGAGACTACTTTTGCTCGGGTACTTAACTGACTTTTACAAATATTTATACCAGGTTTTAGAAATCCATATCTTTTGAAGACTGTACGCGTTACAACTTGGTTCTTTTAAGTTATCTCCGTAAATTATATTGTTATCTATTTTTGCATAATTAGGATTTAATGTCGGCGTTTCTCAACCCTGATCTATGACCTATGCATACGTCAAGTTTCATAAGTTCATTTCACCCTAACTTTTGCCTTCGTGAACTTTTTTTAACATCGGATTCTTCTGATCTGGTCAGAAGAGTGTGTTTGCTTTAGGGGATTCTTAGAATCGGAACAATAAATCTGATGTTGGTTATAAAAGTTTAACCAATTCTACCAATCTATCTTCCACATCATTGACTTAGAAGAAGAGCAATTTTGGATAATAAATGACGGAGATTCAGCATCAACGTAGTTTGGTAATTTGTATTTTTTTTTTCAGTTAGGTAAATTTTAGAAAAAAAAAAGCAAGTTAACAAATAGAACGATTAGCTCACGTAATTCAACGCCAGAGTTAGATGGAGTAAATGAATAGCAAGTACTTAAGGCGAGATAAAAGGTTGCGATCGCTACATAATAAATAGTCACAGGCATTCAACCACACATAAGCGCCGTGCACATAAACAAACACACCCAACATACGGCACACACGTACGCAAACACACACAAGCACCCGCAGGCACACAAGCATACACAAAAGTGCTTTGTTGAAAATTGTGTCCAGAAAATCTAAACTCTATCATAAAATATACGCAAACACAACACGCTTATGTATACATGAATAGATATAAACTCAATCAATTTAATAGACTTACGTAGAAGATAAATGATGGAATAACTGGCTCCATGAACGAATAAATCGAACCATTTGAAACGGATGTTTTATTGTAAAGAAATTGATGAGCGTTTGTTTTTGAAGATTTTTGCAGAATCGATTGTTGTTTTTTTTTTTTTTTTTTTTTCAGTTGGATATTTGTTTTGTTTTGTTTTGTTTTTTTTTAACATTTTGCAATAATTCACAACAACAACAATAACAACAAAATAAATAAATATAATAAATATAAGCGAAAAACAGATTTCAAAAAAGAAAACAGCATAGAGAAATGATTTGTTAAAAAACGATCACAAAAGATGAAAACTGCCAGCGTAAAGAGTATGCAGAGCAAAAAATATTTGCAATAAACACAAATTTTTAACATTAAACAAGTAGTTTTTTTTTTTTGTAAGAACACATCAAAATTTTTGTTTGGTTGATTCATTGATAAACGCAAACATAACATATAAATGTCAAAAGCATACACATACACCCCAGTACGGAATTCATACTCGTGTAGTGGATGTGTTATGGAAAGCGATCTTAAAATTGGGTGAAAATATAAATTTGTTCATAAGGCGCTTTCGTTTCGGCTTTGAGTTTATCGAGTAACATTTATTATAACTTTTATCCTGGAAACGTACTCGTTTCAACTATGGTTGCAAAGTACACAACTTTGTGTTTCGTAGCTATGTTCACTATCATTATCCGGATAAGTTCACTATAACTCTTTGCAAGGTATAATGGGAATAAAATGCCTGTAAGGGAAGTGCACCAACCGAGTTTGTTGACTCCTTGCGTTCTCGCTGACCGTGACCGTGTTACTCGAGTGAGGGATTGGTCATATTTAAGAAAAGTCTGCCTGAAGTACAGTCCAATCTAATATCGTGGTGAAGAATGATGATCTTCATAGCAAAATCATGCTCTAATATAAGAATTGCCATTGGTTCAATGGTTCCATTGTTAATAAAGAAAATTCTTCCATATTTCGCTAATGCAGCACATTGAAGCCTTAGATAAAATACAATTTCCCAAGAGAAATTATAAGTTCACATCGCAACTTATTTCAATTTCGTCATTTCGCATAGTTTCAATTCAATCATCTAAACTACAAAGGTTCTCACTATGTTGTACGTTTCGAGTAAATGCTGTCAAGACAGATGAAAGAATTAAAATATTGAAAACAATGTATGGTGATGGTATGTGGCTCTATGGTCGGTGGGCGAAACTCTATGGTATTTGCTCAAAATTGTAGGGCAAAGTCTCGTCATTATATTCCAAAGCACGTCTAGTTCAAAATTAAGTTTGCACGAATGTACGAGGTGTGTTCAAAAAAAGGTGAGTTTAAAAATTTTAAAATTTGAAAAACTTTTTTCTTTCAGATATAAGAGACCGTGTTTGTTGTGATTTGTAGAAAATATAGATATTTGTATAGAATATATATAAGTATATACGTAACGTCCAGAAGGACTTGAGATGGATCCACATTTTGTTATGCCAATCGTTACAGATTCATTTTCTGAATTGCGGTTAGTTTCTTTGTCCGTTCGTCTATCTTGTGTTCGACGTGCACGACGGTGTTTTTGAAATATTTTGATGAAGTTTTGTGCACCAACACCGTTTGGCTCAAAGGCGAACGTTGTTGAAAATGCTTAGATCGGACCACTTTTTCGACCACTTCCCTTAAAACACCTCATTTTGAATAGTCGTTACATGAATAACAGTAGAGTGGTGTAGAACAATTAATGCTAAGCGCTGGCTAACTACAGTCCTTTTACATATATTTATATGAGTACGCATGCAGTTACGCTTTAAAAATGACACTTGTAACGTAATAGCCTCTCCCAACGTCTAAAATTCTCTGCGAGCATAAGTAATAAAACTTCATGTTTAGTTCATCTTTAAAGTACAGAAAAAGCCAATCGTTAGGTTGTGCACTTAGCCCTTTCAGTTTTTAATGAAAAAGCTTAAAAACCATTTTTTTATTTTATTCTTTTTAGATGTAACGTTCAATTTTTTTATTCCAAAATTATGTATTTACATAAATGAGTATTTTTATGGCCGTTTGGATATTTTGTTTAAATAATTATGAAATTAATTTAAAATTGGAATACAAATAAATATCGCTAACGAAAGAAAAACAAACACTAAAACAATTACGTTTTATATTTTAACTACATTCTCTTACAAATTTTAAAGTATTTTTATAATTGCACAAAACTTGTACTAGAAAATTTTCCGTTTTCTCTCATCTCTTACGCATTTTTGTTTTTTCTCTAATTAAATATTAAGAATTCGTTGATTAAATGATAGTTGAACACCATTCGTTAACTTAGCAGGGACTGCAAATTTAGTGCTCAACGGATACATAGAATTTGGAATTGGGTTTATTCTGGCGTGGATATGAAGCACCACTGTTGTGGTGATTGTGGTGATGGTTTTGGTTTTGATGGTGACGTGTTTTTGCAGTAGTTGTAGTAGTAGTAGTACTATGATGACTGATAGACCAGGGTGCTAGGAAATTTATGAACCGCTAATCGATAAAAAGGTTATACCGCCCGTTTGATATTTTCAATCAGATCAGATTTTAGGTTGGTTTTTTTTATTTTTTTTGGGCGGACAATATTTTACAAAGAGTTTGTTTTTTGTTTATACATTTAAAAGTTGATTTTGTTGTTGTTGGGATACATATTTATTTTTAATGTGGTGGTGTTTTTGATTTTTTATTTTTTCAAACGGTGCATGGAAATAAAAAAAAAGAAACAAAAGAACCCAAAAACAGAAAACAGAATAAGACAAATGACAAACAAAGATTAGTTATAAAACAAATCAAAAAAGTAATACTAATAATAATAATCAATCAAAATTGTATATAGGCATAAATAAATGGTAAAACAGAAAAGAAAGACGTTTTTTTTTGAATATCTACCAAATTAATAATAAAAAAATAAAAGGAACTAACAATAAGAATTTAAATTATTTTCATTACCTACCGGTGTACTATTATCCTCAATGGTTGACATTTCGTCCTCGCTATTCGAATAATCTGAACTCCAGCCGCACGCTTCGTTATGGTCTTTATCACCCGTACTATTATTAGTTGTTGTTAGACTATTCGCACTAATTATAGCTGAGGATATACAATTATCGTCACTACTGCTGCAGTTCGAATTACGGTTCGATGATTCGGATGAGGCATCACAACTAACAGTGCGTTGCGTTGCGCCCAGAAGTATATTGGGTGTATCCCAAGAAGTGGTTTGCCTTAGGCCTCGATGACTTAAGCCATATTGCTTGATTTTTTCGCCTTTCAATTCTTCCAACTGATTGAGTAACACTCGCTTGATTTCTGCCACCCATTTATTTTTGATTTCGATTGTTGGCGCCTGCAAAGTATGAACTTCTTGGCGTCCTTGTAACCAAACTTCAAAACGTCTATTGTCCCCACGCACCGACTCGGTAAGACCAATTTGTGACATCTGAAAAAGAAGTAGTTTGATGTATTGCTTAAATGTTTCCCTTTATTTCAGAAAAACGTTAAGTTTGTTGAATTGTTTTGCTACTTATACTAAGTCCAAGCATTTGTTTCTTTTTGTTCTTCGTCCACTGTGAATTCAATCAAATAAAGGAAGTTTGATCTCTGCGTGTAGGCGGTTTTTGGGGTGTTCCATCCTGGAAATCACTTAATTGGAATGAAATTTCAAACCGCTCATTTTATATAAAGAGATTTTCCATTTCAGCAATTGACTACATAGGGTCGTAAAAACGTTAGAAAATTCACGTGAAACTCTCAATAAACCAGAGGAAAACCGCTAAATTTCGATTGTCACTGATAATGTCGCTTAATGTTACGATATCCATTTTACTCCTTCCACTTCTATATCGAGAAAATTTTTTAATTATAGAACACATGAATCGATGTTCTGAATTCCCTTCTAGGATTCTAACGGTTCCACATTTAATTTTTGATATGTTATGATAAAAATTGCTATTTGAAAGAAACGTAACCTAACTTATAATTGAACGTACCAAATTTGGACCACATAGGTCTATTTCTTGCTTTCATATTGCGAAAGAATCGAATTTTTAATATTTCATGGTAAAAATTGATGTCTGATAGCAATTCATAACATTTGCCGTAGGTCAATTTTTTGATTAGCATCTCAAAGAAAAGTTATCATAAAAATTTGACTTTTATATGGCAGAAAGGTTTAATTTGTAATATTTTATGATGATTAACAACATTAATTGAAATACTTACGCCACCGCGGCAAAAATGTTATTAAAATATTATTATTATTAAAATAAAAATTATTAAAATATTATTATTATATTTAAAAGCCAAAAAAATTTTTAAAAGTTTAAAAAGTTGCTTTTTATTGGTTTTTTAATGAAATTTTTGCCGCGGTGGCATTAATACGTAAGCACCGAAATTAACTATGCAAAAGTCGGGTCTTTTATATCATATTTTTTGTAAAATAGACGGAGTAAAGATTTTCACAAAAGATAAGTCCTTATATGGTAACTGATTTTTTGGTGCTTAAAATTTGACGAGAATAAATGAAGAATGATAAGACCCTTAGCAATAAAACACGGGAAAACATTATAGAGAGCCACGAGCCACCATTGCGTGACCTTACCCGATACTACAACTATTCATACCACCGCTTTTAAAAATAAGTCATTATATAAAAAGTTATCAAAAAATTAGTCCGACAGGAACCATTCATCGTCAAGTCAAAGCACTTCGGTGTACCAATTTCATTAAAATATTCCAAAAATTGGAGACAACGCAGACATACGGCCAGGTACGCTTAAATCGATTCACAAAATTGGTCCCAATTCATCGCTACAATGAAAGGTGGCTTTATATATAACTATTTCGATTCCCCTATTCGCGACGGTCGGGGAGAAGCGATGAAAGAGAAATAGATAGGGAAGCCGGCACTGTCTAGTGGGTGTGTGTCGGTTAATTGAGTACTCAGTGTAACTACGTCCAAAGTAAACTTTACCGGTTTGAGATTTGAACCCGCGAACACAGACTTGGTAGTAGCGATTCTTACCTACTCGGCTACTCATGCGGACGTCAAGTCTTTCTACCAGCAATGTAGGGGATGTAAATTAAGTTTGGTAAATTCGTACCACGGCAGCGCACATTTCGACCGCATTTCTACGTAAAGATTCACATCCCTACCCTTACATGAAAATAAGGTGCAATTTTCGATAGTTTACCACAAAAATAAGAGTTAGCAACAAGTGTGAGGCGATGTCGTATAGAATATTTTACAACCGATCTTTCCCGCCTCTAATGTTTTTGCAATCATTGCAACGCTCAGAGACGCCATAAAGCGTATATATTCTTGATCAGCATCAAATACTGAATTGATTTAATGCTGCCCGTTTGTCTGCTTGATGTAAACATTGTCCTGACTGCAAAAATAAAGATATCGACTTCAAATTCGGCAAAAAAAATTGTAAGTTCTTGAGCGAAACTTGCTATTGAAAGTGGGCTAAATCCGCCAAACGAGACGTCTCTAGTACTACGTAAACTGAGGACAGCCCTGTTTTTCGAAATGAATAAAAAATGTGGGTTTCTGATCATTACTCATAAACTACAACAGATAATTATACAAGTATTTGACCGTATATTCTTTAGGCGATGCCTCAGTAACTCTACAAAAATGGAAAAGTGTCATACTTTCATTTATTTCAATACCTTTATAATATGCGGAAACAAGCTTCAAAATCCTCGTATATCATGTAAATACTGAGACAGTTTCAAATTTGGAATGCGCTTAAGCATGTCCGTCTGTTCGTGTGTCAATCTGTCTGTCTGCGCAACAGTGTAGTATTTTTTATGTTTTCTCGTCAGCGAAAAGGAACACATTGCCTACAAATTTGCAAAAGAATTTGGAAATGACCCAAATTTTTCAATGAGCACGCCTACAACGCTTACAAACATTATGGAACATGAAAATTTAGTTTTTACCATTTTTGCCTTTTTTTTAAGATAACGGTGACTGGTATAGAAGATTCTGTCGCGGCCGAATATAATTTTTTTACTTGTTTTCTTTAAGTTTACCTTTAAGTAATGTTTGAACTGATAGGTGCTTTTATTGTGGCCAGGTTTTGAAGTTTGTTTGCAAAACAACATGGATTTTTGGTATAAAAAAATATGCCTTTGTTGCGGTTTAATGCGTAAACGTATATCTCGTTTCGATTCGGACCAAACTTGGAAAGAATCTTGCAATAATAGTTCACCTTGTTGCGCGAGATCGGTCTGAAAGCAAATTATGAGATAAAAAAAAACTGAAAAGGCATTATGAATAAAGAAGATTTTTAAATATTACCGGAAATCCAGTTATAGCCACTTGATGCATAGAATCGTTGACACATTTTAACACAATTAACATGCAATCTAAGGCTTTTTGTAATTCTTTGGTACAACTCCCGCTATCGCTAAAGCGTAACAAGTCTTTCAATAATAACTGATATTTCGTTATGCGCTGCACAGGTTTCAATAGATAAGCGGCCAGCGGTAGTTTGTGACCTAAACGCTTTTGGCATTCTTGCAGAAAGAGATGTGTATCAACCAAAGTCTCGCGCAAACGTTCTGAACGAGGTATATTTTGACAGTAAAACGAATACAAACGATAAAATGTATCTCGCTATGAAAAACGATAATTAATATTAATTATAAATAATTATATATAATTTCTAGAATTAAATAACATAAGTGTGTTGGTTATGTTGATTTATTAATTACGTACCCTTTGCACAAAACATAAAGCCACCAATTCTGTGGTGGATATACAATTCTCCAAATCTTTAAGGAAAACTTCATTGTGAAATGTATACAGTTCGTGTAAATTTCCGAACAAAATGTCCTCTTTGCCTTGCAAACTAGCCGGCACTAAATGAATCATTTCCTCTGAATGCATTTGATCGCAATAACCCTAAAAGAAGAATAGAATATACCACTGAAACGGTATATGATTCGATAAAATGTTTTCATTAAAATTTACGCATTCACTACAGTCTTCAGTAGTTGAGAGAGAGTGAGAACATGAAAATCCAGATTTTTTAATACAACTAGTTGAGGTAGCATTTTGATCGCCACTACCGCCGCAATAGCTGGCCAATTCGACATCAATGAATTGGCCAAACTTATCGTCGACATACTCTTCTACCTTGTCGTAACCTTGCTGATAAACGAAATCTTTTAGTAATTTCTCATATTTCTGCTCTTTGAATTTATTAAATGTAAATTTTGGCATTTCGATAGCGTTGGTTGCGAAACTTTCTTCGAAAAATTCTTGACAAAATTTCACAACTTCACGGTACGAAGAAGAGAATATATTGGATGCTTTAGCTTTTAGTTTAATATTGCGACGTTTTGGTGCTTTTAACTGCTCGGGCAAAGGTTTCCAAGTTCTACTGTTCAAAGTGGAACGACATGATTGGCAAACATGACTGGCCAGCTCAGGAGTTTTCTTAGGCTGTTTTAAAGTTTTCGGTGTTGATAATAATTTTTTACTATTCCATGATCCTTTGCTCACGGGTGATTGAGCCCGAGCCAGAGATGAGGAAATCGACATTAAGCTTTTCGGTTCATTGCTATCGTTTAAATAATTCAAGATGTCCATGTATTTTTTGCGTTGTAAATAGTCTTTAAATTCGTTATCGTTTTCTATTTCCGAATAGCTGTTGCATTCCAAGTAATCCTTAATTAAACGATACTCTAGAGATTCATCACAGCTTGATAACTCTAAAAGTTCTTTGAAAATTGTTTTCCTTTCCTCTTTTAAACGGTGCAGACTATTTTTGGCCGTCTTAAATGACTCGACCGAATTGCTTTGTTCAATTTCTTTGAACGTGTTTAAGATTTTAATTGTTGATTTGCCGTTTAAAATATTTCGAGCCGATATATTGTAGACATTAGTGCCAAATATATAATCCGGACGGTCTTTGCATTGCTCTTGTAAATCGAGATGGTGGCGAAAATCATTCGTTGTGTAACTGAATGAATTAATACGTTTTATATAACCCGGCGAAACGTCACAATTAAATAGAGAATCACGAAACGATATAGGCGAACTGCGAGGAGAATCCGTACAGCCTCTGTGCGAATAGAAACGTTTTAATGAATCATGTAATCGCGTATGAACTTTTCCCACAATACTGTATGCGGTGCATTGCATTTTTTTCAAACGAAACGATCCCTGTGAAGAGGATGGTGTTTGCGATTTGGAGGCTTTGCGCAAATCATAGCCACCGTAACGCATGTTTTTTTTTTTTGCTGTATATTCCGTAACGCGACGTCTTTCTTGTGTCTGGTGTTAAGCTAATGCTAAACTAAAATCTCTTCGAAATGCCGCTTCATCCACTTATTGGGATTCGGATTTGAAAAAGCAACGAAACATGATAAATATTTAATGCACTAATTAAAATTCAAAGCATTCAACTGAGGCAAATTCTTTTTTTTTATTTTTATATTTTTTGTTTTTCTCTTGCTGCTTCTAAGTAAATACATTTAATTCCGCTCTTGCTCTATATTGCGGCAAATTTAGTAAGTTTTCTTCTTTCTTTTTATATTCTCATGTATAACTACACACCCCAGTTGACTCAGCTCATAAAACCATACAGAAAAAGTTTAGAAATAATGCTTCATGGTCAATGATTATTGCTGCCCATTCATTATTTGCGTTCGTTTTAAAAAATTCATAACAAACAGTTATTCCATAATTTTTCCTGTTTCTAAACTTACAAGACGACCAGTGCAAGTAGAAAGGTGTAAGACAGTACTAACTGAATTATTACATTCTTTGTAATTTATCTACTTACCTTAAGTATTGAGCTCATTTCATGCACATAAATTCTCTCCGTTTCTAAGAGTTCGGTGAGAACATGACCACGCTTTAGACGTCGTGCGTCCAAATCCTTAATTTTCCGGAATTAAAGAATGAAAAAAATTGAAAATCTGCTCTAGAGATCATAAATTACAATAAGCAAATTAAAGCACAAGGAAAAAGGAAATTGTAGTCGGGCAAGGCCGATCATTAAATATCCTTCATCACGTCTCATAATACATCCCCTCATTTTTATTGACGAGCAAATATCAAAAATTATAACTCGTGCCCACGTCAAAGCTTCTTATGAAAGCCCTTATATGGAAAAGAGCTCAAAACGTGCACTGACGTGATATAAAAATCAGCTTGTATTCTTGTTATAAAACTAATTACAAATCGCCTATCTTCACCACATTTCATTGCGACAAATTTTTACTGCGAAGTATTAAATATAAAACCGTTTTGCTATTAAAATATAGGCAATTCCGATTCGAGTTTTTATATCAATTTAGCTTGTCGAAATACTATTACTCAGCAGTTTTTGCCAACAAATTCCAAAAAATGCTAGTTTTTTTTCATATATGACGAAAATAAAGCGTTGGCGTGAAAATGGTTCTATCTAATCTTTATTGAGAATTAAGGTTCGCGCCTAGTCCAAAATAGCGATAGCACAAGTGTATATATACAAGCACCAGACAGAGAGATTTGCATAAATTGATTTAGGAAATGATTCTAAATCGATCGATATAATAAAAAGTGGGCTTGTCCCAAGCCCTCCTAAGTGTGGTATACATCCGCATAAACTTAATGTCCCTTGTATTATAATTGATGTAGGATGAGAAAAGTTATATTTTGCTTGAGTCGAACGTCCGTCGCTAGATTCTGCACGATAGTTGATTGGAAAAAATATAAATTCATATATATATCGTACGTATGTAGCATTAATTTGAAATTATATACTTTGTAAGCTAAAGACCATATTTAAATAGTCCGCCGCACGTATATTAATAAGCATTCAAATAAGTTTACGTCCTTTAACAAAAGATCATCCACCCGAAGGTTTTGTTGAAATAGTCAGATGTAAACGTATCTGGCAACAACGTAATCTTGAAGTCTTAGTGGGTATGTACCAGCACCAAATAATTTTTTTTGTGCGAAAAATGTAATCTCTTGCCGAATAAACGTCATTTGCAGGAAAGTTTACTTTCCTATTTAATTTGAATGATGACGTTGCTAAGCATTTATGAATGGTGAATTGTTGAACGCGTAACGATATTCAAAGCCCAAATAATCATACGGCAGAGTAGAGGAGAAACTAACGTCGATGGGAAAGCTGAATATCTATGTCGGCCACACTGGATTCAAGTATGAAGAAACTTAAATCCACACAGCAAAATTCGTTTAGGAAATGTTTGCAATTCTAGCATGTAATGTCGGTAAAACCGCGCCGTATTCACCAGGCAATGCCCGTTTACTTAGTTGGGCTGAAAGCACACGCCCTATCTGAGCAGCGCTTTCATTCTTATGCAGATATCAAAAATTATGTCAATTAATAGATAGCCTCTTTCATCAAAAAGTCATGGCTAGAGGCGGACACTACTTTGAATAGAAGATACGAAATTAAATAATTTTTGATAGAAAATGGCGGAAAATTACTTGCGCTACTAACAATCCCTTGGTAATTCGGCAAGCTCCTGCCCGCATTAAGTTTATTTTCAAACAGAACCAAAAGACTTTATTAAGAAATAAGAAATAACTGAAGGTCTTAATTGAAGGAATAAAATAAGAACCTTTCAATTTTGAAGGCAACAATATAAGACAATAATAAAAATAATCCGGTTTTTGTTAATTGTGAACCTGTTCTTTGACCGATTTGTTTGGTATAGGGCATGACCTGAAGGGAACGGCAAAAAAAATTTGCAATACATCGTACTTCTCTACACAGACATTTAAACCCATAATTGTGATTTTTACGTCTCGACTAGCGACGGACCACTGTAGATAGGTTGAACTATGAAGACGTTTGGCGAAAATAGCACACAGGCTTGGAAGTGTTTCTTTTTACACTCTACACCACTTATGGTATAAGGTATGCAAAGCTTTGCAATATAGTAACTAAAAGCATTTAAATAAGCCATAGCGTTTATTCTACTGATCGATTCAGAGCCATTTTCTGAGCTCGTCTAAGCATGTCTGCCCCTCTGTCCATCTCTCTGGCGAGCTTTGGCCGAGTATAAATATTAAAATTTCTAAATAAAACTTGCTCAGTTCTAGCATGCCACTCATTAAATAGATGTGAAAGATTTAGGCAAGACGGGTCCACATTTTAAAAAGTCTCTCATATAAAGGCCGGCTTTTATATGACAAAACGATCTTATTTTCAATACTTCAGTGAGATTTCATCCATTGTAGTAGTTTCACTTAAAAGGGAACTGTACAAAATTTAGATCATGTAGGTCCACTTTTTGTAGCTCATCTCGTATCAGGATCGCTATTGAAATTTGGTCTTTATACGACAAAAAAAAGGTTATACTTTTTTAATATTCTCTGATGAAAATGGCCACGTTTGCCTAGTTTTTGAATTCGTCCTCGTATAGGGACATTCATGAAATGGAAGTCTTTGTATGACAACATCGTCTAATGTGTAGAATTAATTTCGTTATATTTAGACGACGTCAGTATACTTTTTGGACACTCTTTCATATAAGGACTGCTCTAAAACATATCCCCTTAGAAGAAAATAGGATACAATTTTTGGTATTTTATCAGCAAAATAAACAAAAAATTGTAATAGGCGAAATTGCAAGGGGTTATCACAGGTTCGACATTGCCCGACTTTAAAATTCTTACTTCTTTGACCGCAAGTTACGACATATTTATAGGGGATATGAACTAACCTGCTGATTTTGTATATGATCACCATTATCCATGTTACAAGTGTTATCACCATTTAACGAAATTCCCGCATCCACAATACCATCCATAGATCGGGGACGTAACTCATGTATAACATCAGTCTACAAATGAAAAAGTTAAAAATTTTTTTCAATACCTTATCTTGTTAACAATAAATAATTCTGTTATTCGGATAAGCAAATTTTTTAATGGGTTTTTTCATTTATTTTTGTTATTTAGTATAATTTGGGGTAGTTCTTTGTGAACCATATTCAAGCAAACGCTTCTTTTCTTTCATTTTATGCTTAAAGATTCGTCTAATCTATGTATATTTTGTTTCGCTTTTTAGTAAGTTTTTACCTGCAGAAAGACTTGGACAGAACAGTACTTGCTAACCAACTTTGGCAAAATAATTAAAAATGAACACATTCATGGTACTATTCATCCCATAAAAGATAGACTTGATAGTAGAGCGAAGAGAGAGAGAGAGAGAGAGAGAGAGATAGAGAGAGAGAGAGAGAGAGAAGTGACAGAAGATCCCGCTTCATTTGGTTGCATCACCATTATTATTCAAAACAAGTGAGAGCATTATAGTGTAGAACGGCACACCATTACATAGCCTATACTATTAAAGACCCAAACTCCATACACTTATTCATATGTCAGAATTTTCAAATAAGACGTTATATGAGAAGCGATCAAATTCAACCCATGGCCCGATTCAAACCATTTTCAATGGCGTTCGTCCTTATTCCAGAACAAAAGTTGCGTTAGAAAAAAGTATTAGTAGGTTGAACAAAAGACAACAAGACGAACAGACGGACAAATAAGCTTAAATAGATTTAATAAGTGGTTCTGAATCGATAAGTTTGTGTTATATATAATCCGGTCCTTCTGGGTGTTATATACATGAGCACGAGCCTAATAAACCCTCGTGGGTAGACTAGAGGACTTAAATATATGTGCTACTGATTATAAGCCAATGATTTGTACTTGTTAGGCTTGTTATTTTAATTCGGCCTGATCACGCCTGCTTACAAACTTGATTTATGGTATTTAAATAGGAATAAATACAATAAATGCAAGTTTATAATTTACTTTATGATTTATTTTAATTACTGCTAAATTAAACGCCAGACCCTATAACTTTTTTGGAAATAGCCAAAAGAGTAATCCATAGTTCTTTTGGCAAATGTTAACCAAACCGTGACAAGAATGTCAATGCAAAAATGAATGCACTAAGACTGTAGCTGTCTCTACGATAAACAAAAGTCATTCACTTGCAGTCTATGGCATTTGTATATAATTCCCAGGTGCATCTTACTACGATAAATCTTACTCAGGTGCATGGGAAATAGAGTGGCGACCAATTAATTTAAAGTCACATTCATAATTATAGAAAAAACTGGACTATTTACCCTTAATTTTACGCTACACCACTTCCGGTACATGCTATATTAGGCTTGAGCGGACATATGTAACACACAGAAGGGTTTAAGATAGACCCACCTTTTATTATATCGATCGATTCAGAAAATAAGTCTGTCCGACCATGTAAATTTGTGTTCAAGCTACAGGCCGCAACTTTTGGGATATTTTGTGGAAATGCTACGTTTTGACCCGAAGACGAACACTATTCAACATAATTTGGATCGGTTCCCTTTTTCGACCACTCCCCATACGACACCTTTTTTCGAAAAGTAGTTGTATGGAAAAAAAATTGTAATTTACAAAATTTCTCGGCAAAAGTGGTTCTCGGTAGCTGATAGTATTTCGGCGTTTTAAATTGGTGTTAGACAATGTGGTGCAGAGTGCTTGATGATCGACCTTGCCCGACTTTAATGTTCTTACTTGTTTTGCTTTTACTATTTGCCTTTTTCATCAAGAGCGCTAATGTGTTTTAAAATTCAGGTTAATTGAAAGTACTTTCTAATAACTTCATTTGAAGTTTTTTTTTTTTGTACTATCTTCGCACCTATCCTAAGTTCACCGTTCGCATATCCAATTTTTTTCCTTTTACCAACCATTAACTGCTGAATTTATTTGTAGAAAGAGGCATGAAAAGTGGTCCTAATAAAAAGTCGTATTGAAATATATAAAATGCGAAAATGTATTGTATGATATATCACTCAATAAGGTCGTATATTGGACGACGCTGGAAACAGCATAAAAAACTAGAAATTCCTGTATTTGTTGACGTCTAACAAATACAATTATTGGAACCAAATTTCATGGCGTTGATTTCTTATTAAATTGTTACTATTGACAAAATTAAAAACTAAATCTTTTTCTGCAGGACTTACTATCCGTGAAAAATCTTATATGAAGAGGGGTCCAAGCAATAGACTCATGTGGTTTAAACTTGGTTCACTTAGTTTTTATTTCAATTTACTACCATGAACAAATTTTGGAATATAAGTGTTAGCATTGCGTGAGAATTCTTATAAGTGGTGCCATCCAAAAAATAGATCTACGTGGTCCAAAAGCGATAAAGTTGACTTCTTCGCTACTTTTTTGAACCAATTTTCACCGTTAAAAATTGAAAATTATATCGTTTTACCATGTGAAGATTAAGTTTTCGTAAGAAAGATTATGTGGAAGGGGGTTCAAAAAAATACCCTAGCCGAACAAAACTTTCCATACCAATTTAGAATGTCGAAATACTATTATTCAGCGTCTTTTGATGAAAAGTTTTGAAAAGTGCAATTTTTTAGTGGAGTGGTCGAAAAAGTGGACTGTTCCGAACTATATTCAATAGAGTTCATAGATTGGGCCAGAGCACATCAATGTAACAAATTTCATCGAAATATTTAAAAATTTGCGACATGTAACTACCGACATTATACAGACGGACAGATACACGCGCTTACGTCCAGGTTCAGGTAATAATTCTGAATCAACCGGTACAATAAAACGACGGTTCATCTTAAACCCTTCTGAGTGTTACATACGTCCGCACAAATCTGATATAACGTGTATTATAATTAGTGTAGGGCGTAATTTTTTTCTTGGAATCCGTATACTAGGTTGTAGCCTCAATTGATTCACATTACGTTACAAATAACGACAGAAAATATACAAAAACGCAAGGCAATTTCTCAAGAAGTTAGAAATGTATAAGAAAGTCAGAAAGTGGGGAAAACTCGCACGGAGAAATATCAAAAACTTTGGAATTAGAAGCTATAATAAAAAATGAATATAACACAAATACCACTGAAAATAAGCACCACTTAGCCCGACCAAACAAACTTACTGAGCTAAAACCGATGTACTATCAAAATTGTAACAAATGAACCTAAAAGTAGCGCTATTGGCATTGCAGAAGAGCTAGACAAATGTAAGCCAATTCATCTCTCATCATCAATTCATCCCGAAACCGTTCGGAACATTTTAAAAGCCAACCATTTTCATAACCGCATTAGAAGAAGAAAACCCTATATAAGCGAAGTAAAGATAATAAAATGCCTCAAGTTGCAAAATTCAATCATGTGACATTTTAAGGAAAAGAAATGAAGACACTCACTTTAAGTGATGAATTATTATTTAAATGTGCGAATATGAGTGCAAACTTTAAGTACGTTAACTAAAGATGTTCGTTTTCGAATCTTTCAGCAGTACTGTATGTGGACTTTTTTACTTGTTTTTATGGGATTATCGACTTCGAATTTGGCAGAAACAGTGGAAGTGTTTGCAGCCAGATTGGTATTGAAAATGGGCCAAATCTTTGGAAAGACACGCCCATAGCATCACGTAAGCTGAGAGCACCTCTGTTTTTCAAACAGAATGAAAAATTGGTTTTTTGCTCATTACTCATAAACTAGAACAAATAAATGTACAAATGAAAGAAATTGACGACGTCTACGTAATATTATAGCATAGCAAAATTTAATTATTTTTTAGTACATTTATAACACACAGAAAAAAGCTTCAAAAACCTTCAAAAGTATACAAATTCTTGGCCAGTTTCAAATCTTGAATGCACCTAAACATATCCGCCTGTTAATCTGTCCGCCTGTCTGTCTGTAGAACTTCGTAGTATTTGTGGTAAACAGTCTCCCGTTGGCAAAATTGAGAATATCACCCATAAATTTGCAAAAGAATTTTGAATTGAACTTAACTTTTGAAAGGACTCGCCCGCATCACTCACATACTTCTACAACAAACATTTTTATTTTAAAAATAGAAGAAATCAACTATGCCCACTCCATATTATAGAGGATGAAAATTTTGTTCTTTTACTTCTTTTGCCTCTTTTTGAGGTAAACGGTGATGGGTATAAAAGAAATGGTCCCGGCCGATTTTAATTTTCTTAAGTTTTGGCTTCTTATGAAGTATATTTTTTGACCTTCAACCTATAAATGCAGTTTTTAATAAAAGAAGTTCAATTTTCAATGCCACGTCTAGACTTTATTGTGATACGGTGTATTCTTTCTTAATTAAATAAACTTCTTCATTGACTTTGTAAATGTAATCACAACGTTAGTTATGAAGAATATTTTGTAGCTAGCAATGCTTACATAAGGAAATGAATAAGTAAAAAGTAGTTAAATAAATTTACTTTACTGGCTTATCCTTTTTTCTTACTATTCTAACCTCTTTTTATAGTAGAAAAACGTCGTGTACAAATATAGTAAGCTAAGGTGAAAATCTAATTAAATGGGAGCCAGACTCGACGTGAGTAAAGAATAAAATTGCCTGCAAAAACATAAGTGTCTTGGTGAAGAAAAAAAATTCCACTAAATGGATAAGCAAATCCATATGCCAACACAATCTCTTGGCCTAGTGTTAAATGAAATAAGACGAAAATTATTTATAGATTAGATTGAATATGGATATGTAATACTGTTTAAATGGAAGAAAGAAATTTTCTTTTCTTTAAAATTGAATCCATGAAATGTGCTTTTATTTCATGAAAGGCAACTTTTGTTCCTATCATTCCTCGCATTCATTATTGTTAAAACGTTTGCAGCATCTAGAAGAGGTTTTATCAAGTTGATACCTAATTCTTGATCAATGAGCAGGTGCGCGTTCGTCTAAATATACAAGTTTTGGATCAAATGCACAAAGGATGAGCCTACAGTTAAACATAAGCGGGATTTCATTTCCATTTCAAAAATATTAC